GGGCCGCAGGCCGCAAGCGAGTGGGGACCTCTGGTGGCAGATTGAATGCTGTGGTAAGGGATAGAATGGCGGCCTGATTGCATTAAGACGCAATTGGGCGCTACGTCGCGATTGAGGGGGGTTAGTATGTTTCCCCTGGGATAGGGCATGATTAGGCATGGTGTCAATTCAGGGAGGACCTGAAATATCATGGTCCGGGTCGTGGACCCGGTTGGGCACCAAAGGCCGGCCGTCGGGGTGGTTTTTAGTGGAATCACCACATACTCCTGGCTCCTGTGTCCCCGAGGAGCAGGAGATCCGAAGGGATTTTTCACAACGTCAACAGAAAAAAAAGTCTGATTGACCAATGCAGAGCCTAAACCGCTGGAGCTACAAACTTGAAATTTTGGCAGTTGATGCTTTTTATGTTGTAAGAATCTACTAAGAAAATAGTTTAAAAATATAAGGGGTAAAATAAGAGCTATTGTATAGAAGTTCATCATTTTTCAAGTTAGAAACACGAAATAAAAAAAAAAGCCGCGGGAAATAAGTAGCTAGTTTTACAATAAATTGAGTTTATATAAGACTCCCGAATAATTAACATCAATAGGTTTAAAATATCGGTAACCTATCGCAGTAATAAATCAGAAGATTGAACCCTTACGGATTACAGTGGTAATTATCGCTTAGCTGCTGATCACACAGCTTATTGAATGCTTCTCCTGTGATTGATTGCATTACAAAGAAAATTATTTTTATCATTTTTCGTAAGATAGTCCTCTCATCAAGGTTTTGGTAACGTAATGATTAACTTATAATAGAAAGTAAAGTAAGCTAGAAAAAACTATTTTCAAATTATATCACATTGATCACAAATTATATGCAATAATAGTGTTTAAATGCCACGAAAAAGACTATTGGCTGCGTACTCATCATCACTTATCATCTATTTCCCACTTTAAGTTCAGCTACCTACAAAAGCGTTTATTTTTAGTTTTTTTAACTATATTTTTTCTATTATCAATCGTCTACTTCGGCCATGTTGGTTAAGTTAAATAAAAAAAAAATACGGAAATTTTAAAACAACGTATATCGTGACAAAAAATAGGGTAAACAAAACCGTAACAAAATAGAAAACTAGAGGAGACAAGTTATAAGCAAATAAATTATAGTTTAGAAAACTAAAAAAACATGTAACTTCGGCTAGATACAAAAACGTGTTTCTTTTTATTTTTCTTAAACTGTAATATAACTTTGCTTTTTTAATAATTAATGATGATTATTTTCACATTAAAGACTAAAAAAGTAAGTCCGTTTTCAAAGATTCTGTTACATAGAAGCTAACCTAATAAAAACGTGTTAAAAATTGTAATAAAATTTTTAAATATGCAATATCTTAAAAACGGATAGATTTAAGATATAGTATTTCTATAAAAATAGTTAAAAACTTGTAACACACATTTTAAACTGTTTCGTGTAAGTCGATTATGTAATAAGTCATTTAAATTCGTATTATTTTACCACGATACCGTAACAGGCAACGTTATGCCGTGACTTTGTTATTTCCGTTTTTCACCCTTCCCCATATCTCGAATTATATCGGTGAGCACGCGCAGTTGTATAAATTAATTCGTTAGTATTAGAAGTTTCATTTGAACGTATTAATTTGCCTCCATATTTTAAGTAAATAAAAAATTTCACACTTAAAAAGTTTTAAGCTAAGTTTCAATTTTTAAATTAATGTTTAAGTACATTTTTGTGTATGATGATGTAGTGTATGAATAAATAAAAATAATTTTCCTGTTTTCTGGCCATTGTCGTCACCAAGAAACAAAGGTAGGTGTACCAGACCGTTGGGATTAAAATTAAATATTCTTTGTTGAATGTGCTTACGATTCGCGGCGCGTGCGCATTGCTACGTGGACACAGTTCAATGTCAATAGTCTTCCTTCCGTTATCTTAGGTGACAGATCGAGACGCGATCGAATAATCGATGAATCGACCATTCATTTCAAATGTCAGCACAACAATATGACTTATAATAATGTGTGTCTTTGTACCGTAACTACGATAGCACAGGCGACTATTGTTTTGCATGTGCTAGATTTCGGCTGGACTTAGACGGCTACTTAAGATTGCATTACAATATTTGTTGTGTTTTTGTAATTTTTTGTTATTTTGTTTTTTTTTTTTAAATTAAATGTAGTGTCATACTTGATTGAATTAAAAACAAGGATGACGTAAGGAATTGAAAGTTATGATGAAAAAAAAAAACACACATGAACGCTGAAAATATAACACTCCTTTTTTTGAGCTGTCGTATAATTATAAAGAAACTTATATAAGCAACCACCTTTTAGAATTGAAAAACGCTCATATGGAAATCTCCGCACTAAACGGACTTCGTATATCCAAATAGTTTACCAAATACCTGCGGAGAACATAGCGATGTTTTCTGTTGGGAGGAATAACCCATGAGTGACAATACTGTTATAGTGTTCACTATTCTTATTAACCGGTAATTGTTACTTAGTCGACCTGTGTACTGGCCAACTTAGTTATATTAAATTATAGATAATAATTTCATTTTCCCTTTTAAATACATCTTCTTAGTTAATTCGTCATCTACTAAATGGGTTTCATTAAGTTGTAATTAGGTAAATCCTAAAGTAATAATTCATATTATCCTAAAGCTACGGTCGCTCAGCAAGAGGCCTTGTTATGAGCTGAGAGATAGCAAAAGCATAATAAATGGGGCATTAGAATATCTCTAGAGACTAGGTCATCATAAGACTTGTTTTTCGTATAAATATTTTCACTTTGAGGCCGCTTAGTAGATGCAAGTAAGTAATGTTCGGCGATATTAAGCTAAAAGGGAAAACTTAAGAGGTGTTTTAGTGCTTATGTATGAAGTTTGGTCTGTCGTATCACTTGAGAGGTTGTTTTGCTAAGCCAAGTAGGTATATTTACTAGTACTTAGTTAGTTCCGATAGGATTTATGCTAATTTGTGTTCAGATTATTGTGATTTCTGTAGTAAGGAAATATGTTAAGGGTTAAAATAAGGCCGGGAATTTATTTAAGCATAATAATAAACAACCATACTTGTGATGTAGCAACAGTAATTAGTGATCAGCTTTGAGAGTACCTCTTTCTGGCGAGTCATTGCCTAACCATATCGTCAGAAAGCAACATTTAGCAGTACTGATTAAATTCAATCCTTATACTCGAAGTTAAATGTGCTTTTTCAGCCGTCTTGGAAGTTATAGTCAACTGATTTAAGTTAGATAAATAAGAGAATTGAGTTCAAAGGTTTAGATGCAAATATAATATTAAAAATAACTTAAGACAACTGATAGGCACCAGCTTTGCCTGCCCCAAAATAAGGGAAATTTAGAGCTTGTAATAAGAGAACCAGACTGTTGATAAATATGATATTCTGAACTATATACAGGTTATATTGTACATATATTACAGACAGACACAGTACTATTGATCGTGCATCATTCCACAACTGTCTAGGGTGGAAATCTAAACCCACGATTGCCCACGAAGATCAATTACTATTATTATTTATTCTAATAGTGAAATCTTTATATCTAGGCACGCATAGGTTTCTTGATAAGCCCGAAGTTATGATGAACAAGTGGCTTTTATTTAGTTCGTTAGATTTTAGTAAGATCGAGTGAGAAAGCAGTAGTACAAAAACAACGTTTTAGCGACAGCAAGCTTGCTTTCGCCATAAGAATCACACTAATTTGTTTATTTCTATTACTTAGCCTCCGTTAAACTAGCACTACTGTTAGGGTTGGAATGTTACGTCGTTGAATCGTTGAGTACACTACAGTTAAGCGTGAATCCATTCCTAATAGAAATATATATGTACGTTAGAGGTTTAGAAATGTATTGAAGACATTCAAGTAATGTTTTTCTACAGGTCTGTTTTGTTCAATATATTTATGTGAGATTCTTTTTCTATCTAATTATAAATTAAAGTATATGGACCAGTGATAATTGAAATGTCACCTATTATTAGGACGTTAACTAACCTTCTTCTTCAGTAAGTAAATTTAATATGTTCTCGCTATTAGTGTAATTAAAATATTAAAATCTCGATACGGTTAAATATATGGTATCATAAAAGTAAATAAATATATTCAATTTGTAGAAAAAAATTGTTGTTGTTGTAAAGTTACTTCATAGCAAATTGTTAGTGTTAATTTTTCATATCACTGAGTTGGCAAATAAACACACTGATAAACGTACGATTTCCACAAGAAGTTTTAAACCAAGAAAAGAAACGGTATTGTCCTAGACGTTTTAGTTAACCTTTTTTAATGTAAAATAAACGTTAAATTAATTCCTAGTTAATTTTCGCCAATATGTTTACTGTTTTAATTGTACATTGTACATTGTACAAAAGACACCATTAATTTAAAGTACATACATAAGTGGATACTCGTGCAGAACCAGATGTGGTATTAATTTTACTTCATTAAGTAGACCAGGACGATAAGATTCGGGAGTTGGAAAGTTCGAACGGGACATTTTTATCATTGGCACAAATTAAATGTAATAAAGTATTTAGAGCCTTTCCCTTGGTACTGGTTCTCGTACCGTTGGTCGACCTGAGCACCCACCATTGATCTCATTGTTCGAGACATTGCACTTTTCGAGTGTGTCGCTTGTGCACCATCATCAATCAATATATATACAGCATGTGGCTTTATTGCCTGTTCTATGTATGTCTAACAGAATCTGGACGGCGTCGTTGAATCTGACAGTAAAAAAATTTATTATTATAAATTAAATTGTTTTACAGACATCTTAATAGTTGTGGTGTTCTAATAAAAGTAATCACTGAACACATCGGTTTTTTTTAATTCATTTATTATAGCTTGATATCTTGATGACATACAATTTTATACAGAAATGTGTAAATAATAGCCACAGTTTTTAATTAAATTTAATTTTGGTAATTTTATTCATAAATCCTTTGCCATCTGATAAGGTACCTACCATCATGCCTTTCTGGGTACAGCAGTTATATTGAATGGATTATGATACATATTTTTGTAGTTATCATCTATAAGTACACGTGGATTGTCAATAAATGTTGAGTATTGTCTACTGTGTAGTGTATCTGTATGCGTATAGATTAAGATCACCCAGTAACTAACATTTCCGAACAACTACAATTAGATACAATAAGTAAGGAAGTCTATGACAATAAAAACACATTTCGACTTTCTTGCAATTGTTATTTATTATATTGTTTGTAATATCCGAATGTTGCAATTTTCAAAAATTACAACAATCATTTCTATATCATGTTGTTCAAAAGGAGGATACATTGAATTGATCGTTGCATATCTCGATTTAATTTAGACAAAGAAGAAATTAGTATTTATCACGCACCCTGTGAAGCGTGTAGATCGGTGCGCCGGAGCATATAACCGCGGTGCAGCTACGAACGCGACACAATCGCACGCTGGCCGTCGCAGCCACACCGCAACTGTGAGTACAAGAGAAACAAATTCTAGTTATATTGTTTAAGGTTCAATGTCAAATGTCAGTTTATTTTGGGTATTCATTTTGAAATGATTTTGAATTTAAAAAAAAAATGTATTTTTGTAGTAGTAGTTTTAAAGGCAAAAGAATTGTTTGTTAATGTGAATGTGCAAAAATTAAACTGATTATGCGAGACAAGATTTTTTCTAAATAAATATTATAAACGAAAAGGAATTGAAAATTACTCTTACTGATTAAAAATAACAATGTTTTCCTTATTCCCTTCTACATAAATTAAGATTTTTGCCACAGATTGTATAAATATGTATAACACTGGTTTGTGTTTAAAAACGTTTAGTGAAAGTGTTTAAACAAATTATGGAAATTTTTATGGCTATCATTCACGTTTCTAAAGTGTTTTATCCTACTTTTAAATGACAATGTTTTTTTAACTACATATTTTAAATTTGAAAATTTATTGCAATTCAGTCTATACTATCAGATGAGTGTGAAAGTGTGAAATCAATTCATAGGAACTAGTGTAAATCAAGAGATATTTCTAATCTTTTGTGTATATAGCTCTAATTCGCATGTGAAAATAACAAGAAAAAGCTTTCGCGCGTAAAATGTTAAGTGTTATAAATAGGTACACGAGACTACGAACGGAAGCTCCAATTGTTTTTAAAGTTAAGCGAAAAAAGTTGTATAGGTATTGTATCTCGTAAATATTAATTTACAGTGATATTAAATCCTGTTGCACTAATTATTAGAACTACATAATTATAACTGGGCAAAATCATGTCTTATTTAAAGAAACGTGTACGGCAAATGTTTATTATTTACATTGACTCTAGAAAGACATTTTATGTGTATGTTTTGGACGCTAAAGGTAAAACAATAAATTCTCGTCTCAAATTGTTTTCAAAGTACAATATTTTTTGAAAATTTTAGGAGGGGGAAAAGGTTTTTTTTTCAAAAAATTGTGATAGTTATTGCGTGTACTTCTCTGAATCTTCTGAACTGCAACTTGCAAAAACACTTTTGAATGTCATGCACATCGATTGATTTTATTGAAAATATACACGGAATTGGTCTATTTTCATCATGCAACCTACTTCAAATTTCTTCTGTATCATGTACTATTCCGTTTTATTGAAATATAGGAATACAAAGATGTATTTGTTGAATTAAGAATTTGTTTATTTGACGCTCAAAACGTTGAAATTAAAGGCGTACGTGTTACGATTTTATGATACATATTTTGAGTTTAGGTAGTTTAGGTGACGAACTTGGGTTCTGTTTTGTCGAAAACTTTTTATTTAAATAAAACATTAAAAATAATACTTATTAAAAATAACTTCGTTTTTAAAAAAGAAAGTATATAAAATAAATCAGGCACAACATTAATAAAACATGTCTATCGTGATAGCTATTAGTTTTCTAAAACGGTTTAAATACAATAAAACCAGTGTTGGTTTTGTGTTGTTGTTGAGAGGTCCTTAAAATGGGTGGCCATGGATATAGTACCTATGTGGTACTGTAACTCAATGACCGGTTTACTGGAGTGCAGAGTCCACCATGTTTACAAACAGTTAAAAGCTTATTATCATGTAAATATTGACATAAAAGTAAGCTACTTTCGTAAAACAAAAACAATCTGTCAGTCGCAAAGGTTGCGAAAGTTTTTAGAATGTAATATTGTAAATAATTTATGGATTACTAAACAATGAAAAAAATATTATTTATATATACCAAGTAAACATTATAAATCCACTTACTCAGATTAGAAATGATAGAAAAAAAAGATACTACCTTACTATGTCAATTAGTAATTATATTGCAATAATCTTAACCGTCAGAATACATTTTATTTACAGTTCAGTAAAGTTAAGAATTGCATTGACAATTCGACAAGCATGTTTATCGGCAAATTTCTAGACGATGAATTTAGTTACAATAAAGAACCGTTTTATCACGCTTATTTTCTGAACTTTAAATATATTAAAAATTTACTTTAAGTATTAATTAGAAAATAAGTTTTGAAATTGCACTTATCAAAAACAACATATACGATTGTGTATATTCTTTATTTTATACTTTCATATCACGCACTCGTGCTGAAATCCGTGTCAACTACTTAATAATAATTGTTGTTTCCTTAGAGTTCGTGTTCCCAAGTAAACTATTATTACTTACAAGTGTAAAACTGATAGGTGAATTGATTATTCCTGATTGATTTTCTACTCACGGTGTTCCAAGATTATTTGCAATTAGTATTCATAGTTGGCATAGGTATTATGAAACATACTATATTAAGGTGAAGATACCCAGATAGAATTTAGTTTTATTGGGATCGTTTACCATTTGTGGACAAAGGGTTTTCACTTTCGGCCGATGACCTTAGTGGCAGGATAACGACTCCTGTAGTGAACTCATCAGCTCCTTAGTATGCAGGAGGTTTGTCAGCAACGCACAGTCATCGGTAAAGCAGTGCATGCGGAATTGTATACGATATCATTACATGCTATTGACTGGACTGACAAATTGTTTGTGGTTGACAATGCCGGGAAAAGGGTTTTGTAAATTAGCTCATATGTTTTATATGTGCATGAATGAATCGCAAACATAAAAATATCTGGTCGTAAAATATAGGTAGAAGTAGCCTTGAAATTATATAACGGCATTTAAGAAATGTTTAACGCTGAGATTAAGAACTTCATTATAATTGCATGAAGGTATATGTACATAGCAGGATATTATATAATAATGTAGGTACATATAAATAGGTACTTTTATAAATTCCAGCATAAAGTTAGAACTTTTTTGGAGGAACGCTGACATTCTTGACATTTAGTATTGATGCATTTGGCTCTTTATTACTTCTGCATAATGAGGTCTGTTACTCGCATCGAATGTTACTACTAAGGCTATTATAGGCAGTTGTGTGATGCCTCTACTGTAAATAATTGTACGGTGATTAGGACTATTATCCTTTTATTTATTTATTTATTTATTTTAAGAATGCTGACGATGTGGGTCAGCTTTCAGCTACTGGGCTGGGTTCAAACCCCCAACCATGCAATGCTAAGCTAAATGATGGTGTGGATAGGATTATTATTTATTTTTTATGGTATAGGAGAATAAACTAGTGGACAGGTCACCTAACGGTGACTACTGACACCAGCTGCTCAAGAGTTCAAAGTGCGTTACTGCTCTTTGAGTACCCCCCTCCTTTTTTTCTGTGCTCCCCCGGATACCACCCACCAGTGGGTGATCATGTCGGACTCAAACCGACGTATAACCGCACGCCGTCTCCAGGTACCAATAGGGGCAGAACCAGGTGTACCCTAGAAAGAAAAGCACTGGTGCCCCGATGTACCTTGGGCCATCTACGGCTTGTAGATGACCCCCTCCTGTAGAATTAGGAAGACCGATGATGTCATCGAGTCGGTGAAAACCAACGTAAGAATGACTTAACACAGGTTTTCTGCGAGGCCGTGGGATACCACGGCCTCGCAGAAAACCTGTGTTAAGTCATCTCGATCGGAGTGATAACTCCGATCGAGACGCCTCATTTGTGTCGAAGTATGGCTCTCCGACGAGTTATGTTTATTTGTGACGGTGTGTATCAGAAAAATGTCCGTGTTATCTCGCAAATATAAAATGTATTCATTTTGCGTAAAATAAGGAAAAAGGAAGGGAAACCAAATGAATCCCACCATCAGGTAAAGCTAATATTAATGAGGAAATAGATCCTCTTTTAAATAAGCTGATATTTTGTTTCTAGTCTCTACTTGGAAAAAAACTATCTAACTTAGGTTAATTAGAAGAAGTTAATTACAAAGGAAGTCAAAATAAGTTCTAATCTAAAACAAATTATGAAAATGAACCGCAACGGACAAAGTTTTATGTACGTGCATGCGATTCTGGATTTTTGACACAAAAAGTTAAGCTTCAATGTATAATTGAGATTTAAAAAAAAACCTTTCTTTGGAGTGTCAATTGATAAATGTTTTGCACCAATAATATTAAATTAACCTACGCCACTTTGGCCTGATTTGCATTGCTGATGGACTTAATGTTAGAATTATAGCAGATGTTTAACCGGTTATGTATTATTTGCCTGTTAACCATTGACAAGGATGTCCAAAATATAGTATTATTATTTATCAAAGGTTTGTTTAAAAGAAGCGAAAACACAATATTTATTACAATTAATGCAATCCGAGCCATTGAGCACTTATGTAAAGTATTCTTAATTTACATTTTTTTAAGTGTGACAATAGTCTTTCTACAGAACTTCGATATCGCGTAGGTAATACTTGGGTTGTGGAAGACTAATGGCAGTCGTTCCACGTAAAAAATTAAAGTTCAGCCATATCGTAGTAGGCTTTCAGCCGACCCCAACCAAGTTTGGGAAATAAGGCCCGGAGAAAGAAGATTTTTAATTTCAATTTCTTAACCGTGTGGTAACGGATTAAGAATACGAAGTGTTACCACCCTATTTATCCCGTGGCCGCATGGGTGTCGTAAGAGCCGAGTAAGGCAGCAAACTAAGCAGGGTTACAACATTGCAAAGAGAAGGAAAATTTGAAACAAACTCTTCACCAATCTGTCTGGCATGCGTGGCAAAGCAGGCCGAAACCTCCTTTCTAAGGATAAGCCTTTGTTCAGCAGTGGACAGTATTAAAGGCTGATGATGATTTTTAATTTAACTCCATCATTGTCCTACCTACACATGATAATTAAACTGAATTTGGGTCGAACGAGTCTCAAAAAGCATTTGTAGTTAATGCTTTTACATTTTTCATGTCATACTGGATACTGGAGTCAAAACATAAGATAGGAACGTTGTTTGTCTTTGTCCTAAGTTTATTCAACACGTGTAAAGCATACGATCTAATATAATGAAATGAGATAGACCTGTTCGCTGACATATCTTCTGTGTTGAATACTAATAGCTAAATAATTACGCTTTGTACGCAGTATTTACATATCTAAAAGGAATATAACATAGTAAGTGCAATTCGTGATGTCAAAGTTAGTTTAAAACCTAAACGCAAAGTTCATGATACATTGTTTACATTTAGTATTAAAGATGGGAAGGGAAAATAACACCAAGGCTGTAACTACAGCTTTGAACAATTGCAACACATTATTGCACCTTATTAGTACGCCTTAGAACTAAATATGTGTGTATACCTACCCTTTATTTAATTCTTAGTGGAACATAATTTGATAAGATAAACTGAAAAGATAAAACATTTAATTTATATTAAATGTTTTATCGTTATGTCTCTTTCTGTAAGTTGTATCATGATCATGAGCATACTAGTTTGCACTCTCGCTTTGTAAATTGATAGACCAAATATTTTAAATAATTATCATAAGAATCGTTGTGCAATAAACAACCACTTTGCTATTATGGCAGGATGCAAGCATTTATCCGACTTACTGCTACCGGGAAACAGAAAAAATACTTCCAAAATTTTTGGAACACAGTGAGATTTGTAAATACCCAATACTATCGAAAGGAACGAGAACATTCATTTCAAAGTGAGCGAATTAGCGGATGTAAAAACAAGCATCACAACAGAACAAAATGTCTGTACTTGAACAGCGTCCACAAAGGTCGCGCCATATTTCCTAATTTGCCGCATTTCTTAAATGTATATTGTTTAATTAACTTACCCTTAGTTTTGGTATGAAACTGGATTATAAATATGGCTAAGAGTTAGAAAAATAAGTAAGCAAAGAATTTGACGGTTAAATTAATTAAGAAAATTAATTATTTAAAGTGTAAACAGAGAATGTTAAATCAAGTTAAGGGACGGAGATTAATGTATTTTAAAGTATTTAGTAGTATGCGAAAAACTATTAATAAGGATCTACTTAGTTTAGGAATCTGTGCCTGAAACCAAGAGCCAGACAAATGATTGAAATATAAGGGCGTAGTTGTATTTAAGTTTATAAATTTTAGAGTCATACATACCTAATACCTTTCTCTTTGCGCAAACAAAGCTTCTTCTTAATACTGACTTCGCTATAGTCACATCAACACATACCCATTAGTTCATAGAATCATATACATAGTAAATCCGTAACACAAAAAATACAATACAATACAATACAATACAAAAAAAAGCACCCTATTCAGTCGTGGCTTGTGCATCACTGGTGCATTTTATAAATCTTATCAAATTTTCAAAACTCTTTTTGCTTGGCTCTTGTCGTTCAGATAAGAATGAATAGGTAAATATAATTTTAAACACTACGTGATTTGTCGCAAAAAGTTTAAACGGTTAAGTTGAAGTAAGGTAACATATTTTTTTTCATGTAACTAGTACGTAAATTAATAATATTGGGTAAATTACTGACTACCGACAATATTACCCTTGAAAAATAATTATGTTCAAATATTTTCTTTTTGTTTTCAAAAGAATTTAGGTTTATATATCAGTTCAGTTTATATATCAAGAAAGCCTGAAAATCTGAAATCACTTAACAAGGCATGACTTGTACAATATAAAAAAAACTTACCAGATATTTTTAATTAAAATTCAATTTTCAATTGGATATGTATTTAAAAAATATGGCCTCTGACCGTGGAATAAAAAAAAAACATGAAAATAAAAACAGTGGTCTGGTTCACTTTTACATTATCACAGCTCCTACCAGGAAATTTCTATCGTGTCTATGGCAAGTGGCTGAGAAAGATTTCATTGAAGTTACCATTGAAGATAATTGTAAATAGATAAGTGGGTATCTGTTAAGCCTAGGTAGCGACAATGCGAGTGCTTGTTAGGTCAGTAGGTGAGTACAGTGGGCGTTCGATACATCTGGAGCGCGAATACCGTTACCGTACTTCGCGTTTACACTCGTCTTGTCATTTTGTAGTACACCGTCTGATTTGTTTATAAGCCTTTTACTTATAGTTACACTTTAAACTATAAATATAAGGCTCTTGTATGTGTATACTTGAATACATATACGAATTTCCTTAGCTAATGAAAGCGTATAGATGACTAGTGCAGTTCTAACCGCACTCTGATTTCAATTATAAAATTGGCAAGAAATTATGAAAAATGTCCTTAACTAATATTATAAACACGAAACTCTTTATTTTTTTTATCATTCTTTCATTCGTTAGATATTCTAACCAACGCGATGAAATTTTGCAAGTACACTGTCACAGCACAGAAAGGAAAGAAAAAGGGTAGTTTTCATAAAATATAGATAAGTTAACGCAGCAATCAAAATTAAATTAAAATCAAAGTTACGTAAATACTGATATTACTTCAAAAAGTTTAGTTACGATTATTAAAGTGCACGATATAAATATGAAATAATAAATATCTAATATTAATTACACCACAAAAAGAGAAGAAAATGGAAGCCCTTAAAGACGACTTTTACAGCTATGATTAAAAACTACTTTATACATTTAGATTTCTAATACCACGCAGCTGTCAAAATAACTTGTTAAGCTTAATGACTAAGCTTAGCTTAATAATTTAATAATACTATTTGAAGGCGGGTTTAATGCTGAATTAAGTACAGAATAATGGCGATGCGATAATTACTTTTTCATATGTAGATTTCATGCTAAAAAAATCTAAACAATAATTGTTTGAGTTTTTTCAAATGTTATTCCTTTCTGACATGTCGAATGCCTTTGCCATGTTCCGGTTCTATCGTTATTTACATATTAAGTAGGTAGACGTAACATACTTAGTGGCTTGCTGCTTGTTTAAGTACTACTTTCATACACTCCATGAACTTCTTTTACTATATTTTATTAAATATTATTTAAATTTCTAGGTTTTTACTTTTTTCATTTTCTTAAAGTGAACTCAGAGCAAGTGCAGAAACATAACTACAACTTTTGATAGCACGTTGTATATCTTATTATGACATTATTATGTAGTTATCAAAATTATTATGCAGTTGTCAATACAAAAAAGTAAAATCTGGTTTATAATTCATTGTTAATACAAAAAAAAACAACAAAAAGCTACAAACAAACATATAAGGTTTGTCTATGGGAATAGACAAACCGAAAAACATTTATTTGTAACATTAGGTTATTAATAGTAGAAAAGAACAAGAAGTGTGGTTTACATCTGTTTTATTAAGGATTTAAGATAATTTATGGATATATATTCCAAATTGGACACAGGTGCCTAATTGCATTCACGAAAAACCAAACTGTGACTGTCGACAGAATTTATGATAAATTATTGATAGAATGATGCCAGTTGAATAATATTATTGTAATTCATATCTTTTTAGATTCGATTTTCACACAGTTTTCACAGTTAAATATTTCATTTACATTGTTGCTTTGTGAATTTAAAAAAGTAAATGTCAAGATTGATTATTGTTATTAATTCTTCTGTTACTACTATTGAGTTGCTAGACGTGGAATGTGTATTTAACTTAGCCAGTTTGAACCCGTTAGACATCGACCGTTCATACCGGATACCCGAGCACCATGGGAAAAGTATAACTGTGCTATTGCACATGCGCTATTGCGTAGCTGTCTATCAATTTCATCATAGAATATAGAAAGACCTACGTAAAATGTTATAATTGTAACTTAACAATATAAAATTTTCAGACTCACAAATGCCTTGAACGATTAGCGAAGAGCTGATGAGCTTTGAACACACACTCTCGATTATTTGAAATCTATATTCAAATAAAAAACAACTTTTGTTTTAGCTTCGTTGAGTTATGATACCTGAAACAGACACTGTATAACAGCCGTCCGTTTTGGGTTTAGACTTAAAAAAAAGTTTTATTCATTATTTAATCAAAAATTGGTGACATTTATTATTTCTTTATTAACGATATTCTAGTAAGATTTTATGGGTTGTATTTTCTTTACTTGTCCTTAGACTACTTAAGTTGTTTTTTATTACACTTGCTATAAAAATGTATACTTTTATTAGTACTTTATTAAGACGATCCTTAACTAAAAGTTCTAAAATACTCTCAAAAATTAATTAAATTCATGCGGTGAAAAGCCTTACTTCAGTTTTATTACCTGTATACGTACATCATTCAATTTCTTTTGCTAAAAATTTACCTGTTTTTGTTGTAGGTTCAAAATGCGAGCCTTACTAGCGACGTTGGTCGTCCTAGCGGTCTTCACGACTGCAACAGAAGGTAAGCTAAAATTTTATTATCATGTTAAGTTTTAATACATTTTTTTTAACTGAGAAACAATATAAAACTCCATAGCTTTGGGAACTTATAGAAATAATAAACAATAAATAAAATCATAAGAAAACTCATTTCTCTTATTTGATATAGTAACATTTAAAGAACTTTCGACTTTATCAATTTCTTGAAGGTTTCATCATTGATGAATGTAAGTAAATATAATTCCTAAAGTTAAATGCAAGTTAGTGACGTTTCGAGCATGTGTTTTCCTAACCTAACTCTACTAAATAATTAAACTGCACTTAACTCTGCTTAATAAACATTGCAACTATCACATAAACTTGCTAATCTTGGCACTTGTTAATAATTTATTGCCATTACTGTGGGAATACATTACTTTACTTGAATTACCAATTTATTAGTACTGGATATTAATTAGTAATAGTGCTTCACATTGGTTTGCCTAAAATTTGAGGTTTAAATCTTGTTAATTTTGTTAACCTGTCAATATCAAATGTATCGTACATCTGATATTGACAGGTTAAAACTATGCTAAAGATATTTAACGTTATTAGTTATTCTCTCGATATAATATCATGCTTAAGTTACGCTCTTTAGTGAGACAGAAGAATTACTACTCTATGAAAAACTTAACGTGTCAACGTATTTAAATAACATACACACTTTTCATGATATGGTTCAATTATCGTGATCTCGTGATCCAAAATAAAGGGATCCCACCTTTCTTTTGTATCACGAAAAATAATTTCCAGTTTAATTTAATAATAGTTTTACATTCATCGGCGTTGAATTACGCAGAGAAAGAACTGTATGGTCGTAACATGCACTTGCAATAACCAAATTTACTTAATCACGACTTTTTTCAGCGGACAGCAAAGCGCGCATAGTATGCTACTTCAGTAACTGGGCGGTGTATAGGCCAGGTGTAGGACGTTATGGTATAGAAGACGTTCCCGTCGATCTTTGCACACATCTCATCTACTCTTTCATTGGAGTCACGGAGAAGAGCAATGAAGTCCTCATTATTGATCCGGAGGTGAGATTGATAAATACAAGTTGTTTTTCGTCCATTGTAATATCGAAGAATAACTCAAATGTCAAACAAAAAACCAAAATCACTACATACGAACTCACTGCTGAAATAGATTGCCTTGTCAAATCATAGAATTATAAAAAAAAAATTGGTAACAGATAACAAATATCTCTCTCTCTAAGGGATCGCATCAGAAATGAGGTGATCCGACAGAGAACCAAGGTCACCGACATAGCGTACCGGATCAGCAAGCTGAAGTGGCAGTGGGCTGGCCATATTAGCCGCAGAACCGATAACCGTTGGGGAAAACGAGTTCTTGAGTGGAGACCGCGTCTCGGCGAACGTAGTGTAGGACGCCCACAGGCCAGGTGGAGTGACGATTTGCGCAAGATGGCTGGCAGGAGCTGGATGCGAGAAGCCCAAAATCGATCTAAGTGGCGTGCGATGGGATTGGCCTATGTCCAGCAGTGGACTGCGATAGGCTGATGATGATGATGATGATGAACAAATATCTGCCTGTGTTCATCTGTAAACGCCCGTACCTACCCTTCTGTAATGATAAGTAGTCGAGGCTGTTTGTTCTAGTCCTATTTTAATACCGGGTCTAGGTAAAACCGGGTATAAGAAAACTGAAAACTCTTTTCTCTTCTATGTAGAGCTTTTCTTATCTCAGACTGTATCAGTAAAATTATTTCTTAATTACAGTTGGACGTTGAGAAGAATGGATTCAGCAACTTTACATCTCTCCGCAAGTCTCACCCTGATGTCAAGTTCATGGTAGCAGTAGGAGGCTGGGCAGAAGGTGGCTCAAAGTACTCTCATATGGTTGCTCAGAAACAGTCGCGGTTGACTTTCGTCAGGAGTATTGTTGGTAAGTATCAAGCGGATTTAAAGAGGCTTTCATTAATTTAGTTGTCAAATAGTAGTAAATTTTGCACTTATTAAAACTAAAACTCTTGGCAAGGGAATTTCAGAGCATCTATATAAACACAAAACCTCAAAATTTGAACAGGCATTTCAACTTCTAGACAGTACAAAACAAATATTGACTTATAGAACGCTATAAGGCTATGTAAAGATAGAAGCGAGGGGTTTGGTGTGTTTCTGATTATCCCGAAGGGAGAAAGGCGTGTTTTTGTGTTTGTATATACATGTGTACAAACCCATCTGGATGTAATTTATCTATAATATTATGAAAAATAATAATAATTTTATAATTATTATTTATATTATTATCCCTATTTATCTATGTAGGTACGTATTTAGAAATCTACTGCCATGTTTATCAGCAACTTGGTAACCATAGCACATAATATGTCATTATTATATTCAAGTCACATTTCTTACCGTTTTCTCTAACCAGAAATGTAAAAGTTAAAAATTTCATAATTATGTTGGACCTTGCTAATCTCATCGTATCACATTGCAGTAGACGAAGTTTGCACAAAGTTTTAGAATGAAATATAATATTGTTGAACATAACTTCAGACATGGGACTTTGTTTGTAGAATAGCGTGCGTGTTATGAAATATAAGTTAAGATATTTAAGAATCTCTAATATGTTGTTCAGTACGTCCATAATAAAAGAAAATGCCGTTGCAAAGTTTTTGTTCTATTTTTCTAAACTTAAAAATATTTGACGCATGAAATAGTTGAAAATAGTCTAATGACGATGTAGCTGAAACATACTTTAAACAAATACTGTATTGTCAGCGTAATATGACATCAAAGTGTGGGCAAACAATGCGGAGAAAATAATATGTTAAATGAAATATAATATGTGACGTCATAACAAACCGAAAAGCCATAAATTATAAGCCACTGCGTTGTTTGGAATATAATTTCCTCATATGACATTCCTACACATAGTTCAGGCGAAGGCTACCGAGGAAAACAAAGGAATTAATGGTATTATTTGACGATACAGTGACTATTACGTCACTGTTCTACGTCCTTCGCTACTCAAATTTTATTAAGAAAGTTACAATAACAACAAAGTCTTTATAAGTCCTGCATTTACTTATTTTACAGCAAGACTAAGTTTTCTTTGTTATAGCCTAGCTAATACTGTTATTGTTCTTCTGGTACTTGAAGAGTTTTATTTTCTGTAGGAATAAAGATGTCTTACCAATTATATGATAGTTCATTTGATAAATGAGTACATGTGCTTAGCAAGTTTGTCATTAGTTTGATTATAGATAGAGATGTGTAAGTTGTCCCTTGTTTTTTACTATTTTGTAATTTTGAATTTACAGAAGAGAACAAGTAACAGCCTTTGTTAATAGATGTCAGATTTTCCATAACACTGGTAACCTCATGGGGTGATAAAATATTAACGATTTTAACAGATTGAGAGAGATAGTACATTTTTCTTTTATTTACAACTAGCATTTGCCCGAGACTTCGTCCGCGTGGTGGTCGATATGTATAGGTACATGTATAAAAGAAGATACAAACTAACTGGCTTTACTGACTGATCGAGCAGCGTTCCTTGGTAAAGATGCATCGTAAGATTATTATGATAATATGTATTTCTTTATAAACACCTTTTTAGGGGCATCAGCAACGTTTTTTTAACTGTTTACTTTGAGTTAGAAAACGCTGCAATTTTGTACCCTTAGGGGTAGAATTTTCAAAATTCCTAACTTGGTGCACACCTGTGGCCCCAAAAGAAGATTTGTGCAAGATTTAATATTTCTAAACCCAGCGGTTTCAGCTGTGCGTTGATCGATCAGTCAGTGAATCAATCCTTCAGTTTCTTCCATTATAGATATAGAAGATAACAGGAAAAAATTAAACATAAAATTCAACCTGCGTGACAGTTGAGCCAACTGTCTGTGACCACGGCCAGTGGTACAAGTTCGGTGAAACAGAATACTTGAGTTCGAAAATCCCACGTTACTAAAAGCAACAAATCATAAACAAAGTTCGTTTTAGCATGTTTTGTTTTCTTTTCATTGTGTTTTAACCATATAAGTGGTCTTCGTAACTTCCAGGCTTTCTCTATTAGCTAGAATAATTTTAAAACCAATTTTAACTAATCTTAATGCTGTGTTATTTGGCAGTGCACTGGGTGGCAATCAGTGGATCAGAAATACGATGTCTTAGCCATTATCACATTTATCACAATTGCTGTTATATGCAATAATTGTATTGTATAATTATTACTAACATAATCCAACTAATATTCGATGAGGATTATTTTTCTGTTAATATAGTAATTGAGAGTAACAAGATTTAGTAACATTCAAATATAAACTTAAAATGTCAAGTGTATAACAAAAACGGTCTCACATCTAAGGAACTTGGTCTAGATTAGTTATTAATATCAGTCGTTATTAAATAGCGGTGAGGTGAATTATATCAAGGGACTTGATATTCAATCTATTTTTCAATTTTCGCGTTACGTCCCCCGAAGTAGGTAAACAAATAAACATTTTGATATATTCTGGGAAGGAGCATGAGTAAATAAAATTTGTCAAAATATCAATATCCCGCCACGAGAGGTTTCGTATAATTTCAACATCAATCTTATTTTGATTTTACTCGTACGTCAAGCGTCATGTTCTTGTTTTGCCACTTTGTTGTAACTACCTATAATACCATAGATAGACCATCCTTGTTTTAATAATCATATGTTAGTTTAATCAATAAGGTTTCATAAAGACTACACTAAAAAGGTCAAAGTAGTGAGGTTGATTATCTCTGTCACTCTAAATGACTTAGAATTAAAGTTAGTTTTTGATTTTAATGACATTGCAACACAATACAAATAATATTGTACCGAATTAAAATATTATTTAGTAGATTTTCAACACAGTAATAATAAATATATGTAAATTGTAACAATTTTATAAATTTCTATAGATATGCTAACACATAATACAAAAACAAAATATATAAGTACATAAGATATTTGCTGTACAATTGCGTCGCAGTGTGCATTAAAAAGAGATGTTGCTTAGCATAATGATGCACAACTTACGATACAGCGCTGGTTTTCAACAACACCTCGATAGTGATAAATATGTGCCTCTAAAACGGTTCAAATTAACATTTATGTTTCGAAATAATGTTATTAAACTACACGAAAAAAGTATTTACAGTTAGAATAAGTATTAGAGAATATTAAGAGGGCTGCTATTTATGAAAAACAAAGTGAAACAAACATATAATTTATTACAGTTTTATTGCTTTTCAAGATATTCTTCGGATGACCTGTTAATTTGAGCTTCCAAATACTGAGTTTTTTTTTTATTTATTTAACATATAAAATTTTACATACAAAAGTAATTAATTTACATAGCAAAAAAAAGCCACGGAGGTTTAATCCCGTGCTATAATGAATCGGACTACTGTTCGTTGTTTACATTAAACTTGCACAATAAATAAACAAAACACCAAATTTGTTTTCACATCGTTTATAACATTTACAACATTAACATCCAGTAGAATAACAACATAGATAAATGTTTGATTACATACAGCCAAATAATTTAGAATCCAAGCCACTAGTTCGACTCAGTACAATCCACTCATGTGAGGGTAGCTGTTCTACATTAAATTTTGGAAGTACTCTTTCAATTTACGTTTCGGCCGACGTGTGGCAGCTAGCATTGTCATGATGAAGAAGGATTCTGCGTTGTCAGTTATTCTTTCTTATTTCTTCAAAGACTTCTGGCAAACAAATGGTCGTATACCGTTCAAAATTAACTGTTTTACGATTCTCTAGTGGCACTGTAGCCACATGTCCATTTACACCAAAAAAAACAAGCCACCATTTGCTTCAAAGTGCTTTCTGAACAAATGAAGAAGTCAGTCATTCGTTGGGTTCGACTCTTCTGGGAACACCCAAACCGTTGATTGTTGTTTAGTTTCAGGACTCATCACAATATCCAAGATTCATCACCAGTGTAAATATTATAGACAGCTTTTGACGCACCCTGATTGTACTTTTGTAACATTTTTAACACCAATCGACACGAGCCCGTTTTTGGTCAATTTTCAAGTTGTGCGTAATCCAACGTGAACAAATGTTCGTGTAATATTTTATATATACTTGTCATACTTACTCTCAGAGACGCGTCTATCTCGCGATATGTGACAGGATGATCTTGCATTATTAGTTCCCGCACAGCATAAATATTTTGAGATACAACAACCGATTTAGGGCGACATTCTTTAAATTCGTCCCTAAGCACAGACCGCTTTCGATTAAACTCACTAAACCAGTGTTACACAGTTGCTTTTGATGGTGATTCGTAACCAAAAGTTGAAGTGAGTTGATCGATGCACTGTTTTTGAGTTAGCCCTCGCTGAAAATCGTAATAAATCATTGCACGAAAATTTTTACGAGTTAAATCCATAGTGATAAACGCAAGTTTCAAAATAACGCCAAAGAGTTCCATTTTTTTTAAATCTTATAATTGCTTTTTAAATATTGTTCTGTCACTGGCCAGTTCCGGATATAAAAATAGCAGCCCTCGTATATGTTAAAAACAATTTGCAAACGAAGAGAGAAGAAAAAAGACTAAAATGAAAAATAGAACGACATTAATTAATGATTTAGAAGTGTGTACCTCGTATATTTTGTCCGACCTAGTAATGTTTTGGGAAAACACAGGACTTACACAGAATACTTATATTTTTAAGATCTGGCTCTGTATTATATTTATTTTCAACAATTAATTTAAAAAAAACAAGAAGCCTTTGTCAATTTTTTTTTTCGTTATTTGCGACGAACTATTTGTATATACATAGTTTTTCTTAACTAATGTATTAGCTAAAAGAATCTGACGAAGTGAATTTGAAAAGTTTGAAAAAAATGTTCAAATATTGTTTCATGTACGTTGTATAATTTAGTATCTCAGTCTTATTAAAAACTATGAGTACGGGTTTAAATTTAAACCTAAGTTTACTTATCCAATAACGTTGCACCTGGTTGAGGAACTAACTTAATTTATACTAGCAATCAAGCTGTCAGTATCGTAACTAACGAGGCTAAGGTAGACTTTAGCCCTACTCCTTAATATAATTTTTTAGCGGCAATATTTCAAAAAATGTTGTAGATTCATAGTTTTTAAGTAGTTTGTTCATTTTACTAGATTAGGAAACGTTACATTCGATGAAAGAATGAGGAAACGAGAATTAATTAGTAAGATATATCGGTTAAGCGTAAGAAAAGCACGTGTGTTTGTAGCTCGACTAACTACTATTAGCTTGTTATATATAATAATATAACAAAGCTAAAAGTTTTTAGTTTGGCGTTTTAGTTAGAGGCAAGTTAGCAAGCCCATTGTCGTCAATCGGGCACGTGTATTTCTAAATAAACATATTTACATGTTTCTAAATATACATATTATAGATAAAATAACACCCAGACGTGGAGCAAAGGATCGTGATTACCACACTATATTTGTTCTGGATGGGACTCAAACCCGCCAGAATCATTAACCACTAGAACATCAGTCTAGTCAAGTCAAGTAAAGTCAGGAAAATTAAAGAGAAAAGCGATATATTTACATTACACATAGAATGACATAATTACTTAATACAATTACAGCCTCATTGAGTGTTCCATCACATCACATCACATCAACAGCCTTAAATAGTTCACTACTGAATACCTCTACCTCTCCTTAGAAAGGAGGTTTTGGCCTATTATATCACGCTGGCCAGACGGGTTGGTGTAGAGTTTGTGTCAAGTTTTCCTTCTCTTTGTAGTGTTCTTGTCCCGCGTAGTACACCTACACACACATCCACGGGATGAATAGGGCTGGTGACATTCCGTATTCTTAATCCTTCACCACACGGAGTGTTCCCTACAGTGTGTAATTTAATGATCCTGTAATTTTACCGGTGCTTTATTATGACCGGTGCAATGGAACAGTTCTTTTCGGATTCGGCATTTATTAATTATGCATGATAGTTAATGAAAACCTTCAATTTCTTTAATCTTTATTTGCAAAATTTTTATATACAAACAAATTTAAGTATTAATTTTAATAGGATACCTTCTGTTTTCATTCTCAAGACACTTGTATCCTAATCCCTAATTTTTATCTTTTATTTTGGAATTTTCTTAGTAGTTTTCGACGTAGTTAATGTATATTGAGAATCAAAGTCAGATATTTATTAATATGATGTTTGTGTCATTCTAGACTTCATGAAGAAATATGACTTCGATGGTTTGGACCTTGACTGGGAGTACCCTGGAGCTGCTGACCGTGGTGGGTCCTTCTCCGACAAGGATAGGTTCCTCTTCCTTGTGCAAGAACTCAAGAGGGCCTTCATCAGGGTCGGTAAAGGCTGGGAACTGACTGCTGCTGTTCCTCTCGCTAACTTTAGATTGATGGAGGGATACCATGTACCTGATCTTTGCCAGTATGTATCGTTACATTATCTCAAGAAATAAACACGTTAATATTTAAGTAGATTTTTAAAACATAAAGAATAACATCCCTTGACATATACCATATGTTCATTAACCTAATTGATTTTACATTCTTATCAATATGTTATGAACGTCTTACATTTAATTTCATAATGAAATTCTAAAACTTTATGCTACCTCCTACTTCTTTCCAAACTAAATTAAAATACTAACAAATCCGCAAATGGCTACTGAATCAGTTTCGTTTGTTTTAATCTTAAATATTATATGAATTATGAAATCAGTTTGAAAGTATTTTGAAGGTCTTTAACGATTTATTTATGATAGGGCTACGTGCAAGGTTAGTATGGTAGCATACGAGACTAACCAAAGTGTCGAATCTTATAAGTTAAACCTCATATGAGACATTATGTTTGACTCAATAATATTTAGATATTTGTACGATAATTTAGGTTAAACACCAGGTACATTAATTAATTATTCTTTTAACTTCAGTCTTTAACAAAAATTACATAAAATGACCAATGGAATATTCATTCCAGGGAACTTGATGCAATTCATGTGATGTCTTATGATTTGCGTGGCAATTGGGCTGGTTTTGCCGATGTGCACTCACCGCTATATAAGCGTCCCCATGACCAGTGGGCCTATGAAAAACTTAATGTGGTAAGTAAAGGAGTTCGTTGTTCAATTTTACTGCTCTAAATATCTGTCATCAGGAGTTTGTGCAGAAAAAAGATGTTTTATGCTATAAAGACATTTGATAATTAATAAATACTTAATATCTTAGTTCTTAGTAATCATCTTAGTTCTAATATTATCTATGACAATGCCTTTAATTGTTTTCATAGTAATAATAAATAACCGTGCTCAACACACAATATTTGTCCTGGGCGAGAATAGAACCCACGGCCTTAGCAGTCAGGATTATTAACCACTAGACCAACAGGTTAAATTAATTTCTGTATTTTCTAGGTGCTTGCTAAAGCCATATCAAAACACTTATCATTACAACTACGAAACAATGTCCTACTTCTATTACTAGTTCTAAACTACAAAATAATATCCTTTCATTTCAGAATGATGGTCTTGCTCTTTGGGAAGAAAAGGGATGTCCTTCGAACAAGCTGGTTGTCGGTATTCCCTTCTACGGTCGTTCGTTCACTTTATCAGCTGGCAATAATAACTATGGACTTGGAACTTTCATTAATAAGGAGGCTGGCGGTGGCGATCCCGCACCTTACACAAATGCCACCGGATTTTGGGCTTACTATGAGGTAAGTTCACACAGTGTCAAAAATACTTTAATTAATATATTTTCATCGTAATCAACATAGGAATATTATCCCAAGGTTTGCTAAGGAAACATAGTTACATGACTTTGTATGCGCCGAGATTTAGAAGATACTAAATGCATATAACATAACATCATATGCATATCTTATATACATAAATTATCCAATTCTTCTTCTAAGCTGTTTCTAGTTTTTTCAACCATTTCAAATATGTTTTTCTTTATCAATAGATCTGTACTGAGGTAGATAAAAAGGATTCTAATTGGACCAAGAAGTGGGATGAACACGGTAAATGCCCCTATGCTTATAAGGGTACCCAATGGGTTGGTTACGAAGATCCCCAAAGCGTGGAAATTAAGATGAATTGGATCAAAGAGAAAGGCTACCTCGGCGCTATGACTTGGGCTATCGACATGGATGATTTTAGAGGTCTATGTGGCGAGGAAAATCCATTAATCAAGTTGTTGCATAAGCATATGAGCACGTATGATGTTCCTCCTCCAAGATCTGGAATTAGTACTCCTACGGTAAGACATGTTAACATAAATATCCTAATTTTTTTTGTAAATATAATCATTTGGTATGCAGATTCAACTGAAGTAGACAGTTTTTATTGTTTTATTTTATTATAGTATTTTATTTAACCCTTTTTTTTCAAGACCTGTAATATAATAATAATAATATTGTACCACATTCACACAACGCCATCTAGTTCCAAACTAAGCAGAGCTTGTACTATGGGTACTAAACAACTGATATAAATACATATATAGTTTTTTTGGTAAATACATACATATTATACATAGAAACACCCAGACCAAATCAAACATTAAATGTTCATGCACACAAATGTTTGACTTGAGCGGGAAGCGAACCCGCGACCTTTGGAATAGCAGTCCGTTACACAAACCACTACGCCATTCGGTCGTCAATATATTCCTCTTTAAATTCAAATATAATATCAATCAGTAAATAACATTTCCCGTCAATTTCAAATGAAACAATCATTAATTATATTTTTGAAATCATAAACATTGTTCACTAATAAACTTTCTGATGGTTCAAACGAAGTAGAGAAGAGTAATAAATCCCAACAGAAACAAATGGATCGACCATTACTCATATTGATATAAATCTACAGCCTGAATGGGCGCGCCCGCCGTCGACGCCATCTGACCCGGCCGAGGGTGACCCGATCCCGACAACTACTACCATGAAACCGCCCACTACTGTGAAGACTACCACGACGAGTAAAGCTCCGCAAGTTCATCCTGTGGATGATAACGAGAATGATATTGATACTAGACCTCAACCTCCCAAGGAACCCGAACCCGTTGAGGTTCCAGCCGAAGTTCCTGAACATCCAATTGTTAGTAATTGAAACAGCAGTTCATTTAGATTTTTGCGTACTATTTGGTTTATTTGTACTATTGTTGGTTTTTATTATTGTTGAGTTTTATTATTGTTAAGTTGAAAAGGTAAATATAAGATTGAAATTCAGCAATCATTGAAATTATTTTACTAATAATAAACTTATATAACAGTTTATTATAAAAAAGTAAGCAGAGTTTTATAAAAGTAATAAGAAAAAAGTTAACAGGTTATTAAGAGTTTATTATTTTACAGGACAACGAAATCGATAATCCTGACATTTGCAACTCCGAGGAGGACTATGTGCCTGACAGGAAAAACTGCGATAAGGTAAACTTAGCTCAAAGCGCCAATCTAAACTTTGAATAGAACTTAAGAAAGTGGATAAGTTTTATAAATCTTTTACAAGCTATTATAGTTACATAATTGGTGTATTCGATTGATGAAGATGAAAAGTTTTTCAAAAGATGAAGATTTTACAAATATTTTATACAAAAACGTTACATATTAATATTCTTTGCAGTATTGGAGATGTGTCAACGGAGAAGGCGTACAATTTTCCTGTCAACCAGGCACGGTTTTCAACACTAAGTTAAATGTTTGCGATTGGCCCGGTAACGCTGATCGCAATGACTGCAAGAAATAGACTAATCGGAATGTGAACAGGACGCTTTAGAGGTCATTTAAGATACTCTTTGATCAAAATCGCATTCTGCTTGCAAGACAGTTGATAAATTATGTTTTACCCTCGTGATTGAAGTGACCAATATTGCAGTAAGGTAGGTATGTAGACATCTATGGCAACTGACGTATCCGGAAATAAAGTGAAAGACATGTAAAAAGACACAATGAGATAAAGATAGAAGAGATTTATATAGGGTCGTTGCCAGAATGAAATAAATGTATGTCGTGTCTTATAAGTCAAATGAATATGCATTTGTATGCATATTCATTTGAGCTTGTGCTCATGGTTATTTTTGCATCATAAATGGCTAAATATTTGCTTAGGGTAAAATAACTGTTTTAAAAAGAGTGACTAGGCCGCCTCAATTATTATTATTTTAAGTTCAAAATAAGCTTTTAACAATATTGTCGTATTTTGTTTTGTCAAAACATAATACGCCAATGTTTTTATACATCTGTATGTTAATATTTATAGAATTTATGTGATTTTTAGTTCAGATAAGTAAAAAAAAATATCTTTACGAGAACCGTTAATTTTAAGTAAAAATGTAATAAAGCTAGACTTAACCATAGGTAAGACTTTGAAGTTTATTATCTAGATGACAGCCTGAATCAGAAAATATGAGTTATTTGTGTGTGTAGTATACAAGACTGCATTAATTAAAATAAAAAAAAAATAAGTATTTTTAAGATCAGTTTTTATTGATGTTTAGATTCTATAATTGTAGAAAGGATATTGATTAAATTGCGATAAGGAACGATTTGATTTGTTCATTTTAGTTGGTGAAGAACTAAAGTTTTCTTCGATGTCTGTATTCAGTAACTGTTATAAAGTTATGCCAACAGAATCGTATTTATTTTATAAATTTGTTACGACTCGGAAGCTAATTAGGCTTTCTCGGCTTTTGGGGGATTTAAATGAATTTTCTCCCGCTTGTCGCAAATGGCCGCTGGCTTAAATACTCGTAGATTACTTTATTTATTATAATACTTTTCAGACAATAAATAATGCAATAAATCTTCGGAGCTTTTTATTAGTACTCTTTGATTGCCTTGGAACTATCTTGCACCCTTATTCGTAAAGAAAATTAATACATTTTCGCTAGTAGATAATGTAGAGAAATAAATAGTAGATAACTGAAGAGGAACGTGGAAACGTATTTCATGCTTTGCGTCTCCGTAAATTCAAAACACACAAATAACTTGGAGATTATGAGAGAGGTGTAATGGGCGGTCGAATTCTTGAATCAACTTTTACTGGTGATCTGAACATAATAAATTATTTACAAGGTTTAAAATAAATTATTTCGCCCAAATGTTACATTTCAAAGCACAGCCTGAATCGTCGTTCATTATTGATTTAATGTTTTCATTGTCTTGATATCTTTAAATCAACATTAAATTTTAATGATTTTTTAATAGCTAGTAGGCCAAAACCTCCTTTCTAAGGAGAGGCCTATGTCCAGCAGTGGACTATTATAGGCTGTTGTTGATGATGATGAAAATAGCTAGGTACGATATTAAACCATACCATTTCATACAAAAATGTACTGCGGCTATGGTTTTGAAGTTTCCTAAAAAATACGGATTGGACTTAACAGTCATCTACCTCTTTACTATACTTATGTATGGACTGAGGAATGAGTTACGAAATTAGTGTATTTTTCAATATAGTAAATATTTAAATCGTTACGGTTAGCTCTACAGAACTTCGATATCGCCTAGTATTTGGTTTTCGGAGATCTAATGCCACCCCCTCCGTGTAAAAAATTGAAGTTCAGCCTTATCTTATTAGACTTAAAGCCGACCCCAACCTAGTTTGGGAAAAAGGCTCGGAGGAAAAAAAAAGTTCAATTACTATTCATATACGCAACATATGACAATAACATACAACTCTTTTACTAGTTTAAAACATAACTCTAGTTTAAGATCTAAACTTGAAACTGTGGCTAAAACAAATTCGACTTCATTATCAGCCTATCGCAGTCCACTGCTGCACATAGGCCTCTTCTATTGCACGCCACTTGATCGATTTTGGGCTTAGTACCTACGTTAATAATCATGAAGTACTTTATTTATGTGAATGCATCTAGTCCGATTTATTGTTATGCCGGTACCCGTTCAATAAAAATGTGATGGGTGGTCATCAAAGAAAACTGTACTATGTACTCAGTTTTGTGGATAAATGGTGAAAGGGAAAAGGAAAAAATGATAGTGTTAAATATTAACTTTAAAGTGTACATAGGTTCGAAAACTAGCTCATGATCCACCGCCTCGGATTAATTATAATAAAATTTTGACACATTTCACATTCGGCCGTCTCTGACAAACATCCTTATATATTTCTAAATACACACACACACACACACATATATATATATATATATATATATGTACTAAAATATTTGGTAATATGACACCATAACAATTTTTTACGGGAGACTTCATTTGCTTAAGTCTTAATTAGATTTTACTAAGCAATTTAGGTACTATTAATTTCATAAATATGAGTTACAAATGAATATAAAATTAGGTGTAATTATACCATATTTTCTATTTGTAACTCATGGAGACACGGACATTTTCACTTAACGTAATCATGTTTGACATGTACGACTTGTAACATTTCTTTGACACGAAATAGCGCTGTATTGTATCAGACTGCTTCTTAGAAAGCGTCAGTGTTTCTAAGTAAAATCGTGCCAGGAATAACTAAGTTATTTCATATTAGTGTAGGTTCTGTAATTTTTGTCATGGTTTCTTGGAAGGCGTTAAATGAATTATTTTTTGTAAGTTGTTTATTACTTGCGACAATATTTAACATGTAGGCGTGGAGGCATGTAAAAGTGTGTCAAACAATTTGTCTTTTAAATTTTTTGGTTGTTGATATAAACGCTTTAACAAAATTGAATAGCAAAACTAGTAGTCTTAGCCTGGTTCTAAGTGAGAAGTTATCAAGAAAATCCGAGTCTAAAATCGTAGGTAATATGCACTTACTACGATCACTTAGGGTCACTCACACGAATTTTAAGCAGACAAATTTTAAGATAACACATTATTGTATTGTACTACATCCATGAGTGTCTTTTTAAAATTTACGATCAAAGGTTATTTCTTTTTTAATCTTGTTGCATCCATATTTCCCTGGACACTGAATTTTTAAAGGAAACTTTTAGAAATTCCATGCCAGATAGCTGTTGAATTATTTATTTGGGTAAGTTTCAACAAGGCTGCTGGCAAAATCTAATTTATGGTAAAAATAAAGAGAAAAGAGGGAAAGGTCTGCAATTAGGCTAAAAATGTTTCGTAATTACATATTGTAATCTTGACCCGTAGCTTAGTAGAACTGACACCTGGTAATCCCTGAACACGTGCAAAATATACACTTTCGAACCCTTCAGACCTTAAATGAGATCGACCTTTGTTATTTCGGTCCCTTACAGTTAAGTATATATTTAAACCTTCACCTCTGATGCATGTACTCTTAACCTCACATTTATGGTGTATCTAAAAGATAATTGTTAGGCTTAGTGTTAAAATATGTTGTGAATAAGGACTGGTAATATTCTAAATGTTTTACTAAAAAATTCTTAGCAACAAGGTTTGAAAAATCGGTTCTTCGTCGTAAAAGTGTCTGGTACGGATTTAAAAAGCATGCTTCTTGTTAGAAAAGAGGTTTAAGCCTTCCAAACCACGCTGGTCAGATGGGTTGGTATAGGGTTTTTTTCAAGTTTTCCTTCTCTTTGTAGTGCTGTTGCCTGCCTGTCCTGCCTTAGTCGGCTCTTATGACACCCAAAAACGTTAAAGTAAAATTGAACGACTTTCACACTATTGAATTTATTTCATGACCTGATTTGATGAAATAAATTATTTTGAGCCATAAACACAAAATACTGTCAACACAGACCACTGGCGGACCGAAGTGCTGCCGTGTTGCTCTATGGACAAGCTAGACAATATTATAATAGCCCTAATTTGCAATTAGCCCTATTGAAATGAAATGATTTGAACTTTAATATATTTAATCTGTGTAACTTTAGGTACAGGTGTGTTTATATTAACTGAACGACTATAAGAAGTGTCTACGCGATTTTATCGTGAACCGCTCCTCTTTCACGACTTCAAAGTTTTCGCAGCTCGTTACAAAGCTTAACACTTCGTTAAGCATTAATTAATTCGTTACAAAGCTTGGGCTTTTAGATTTCTTTATAAATAAAACACTTGACTTACACTGTATCAATATAATAATATGTAGATTAATGGCAATTTTTTTGAAATAGAATACCGTAAGTTTTTAGCACTAATATAGTTTCTCTGCTCAAAGGCAGGAGTATAAGACCTTGTTTTTATTGGGTCTTGCAATAATAGGCGTTTGTTTGAAGAGTATTTTAATAGGTTGTTATGCTGTTATTTCCTTTGGTACACTAACAGTATACAGCATACACTAGCAGTGTATCTACTATAGGTCTAACCTGGTGTGAATGCTCATTACAGATAAATCATATTAACCATAGGAGATGACACATACAATATTAAAATAAAAAAATAGACTATAAAAACTTAACGCTAATTAAATTTAGTTTACACAGGAAAATCTCAGTTTAATCCACTGTCAATATTATGATTGATAAACAAAATCAAAAACGAACAACAGTAATAAAACAAAACATACAGACGAATTGAGAACCTCCTCTTTTGTGTTTTTAAAGTCGATTAATAATAGATAACACGTTGAAATTAGTTTGTTTTCCGCTATAGCGCTTCTAAATATGTTGAATAACGTATGCTTGAAATTGTTTTTCGATTTACGAGATATTTTATTCACCCATCGTATCACATTACGAAATTAAGCTACGTAGAGTTACTTTGTTTTAATGTTAAAATAAACTTTCATACAGTTAAAATCACCCGCTTAAGTACTGTTGTCGTGGTTAATAAAGCAATTTGTGCTTGTATAATATC